CCGACGGCTCTGTCGCTGTGGCTGAGACTGCTGCTGCAGTGCAGTCCCGCTCGGCGAAGGGCCGCCGCCCCAAGGTTGGGAGCGGCGGAGGCGGCGGGGGTGCGGGTGGGGGTAGTGGTGGAGGCGGGTCGTCCGGTGCCGGTGCGGACGTGGGGACCCTGCCCGGTCCAGCTGTCCCGCTGCCTCCACAGTTGCAGCAGCCGCAGCAGCAGCAGTCGCCGCAGCCGCAGCCTTCGCAGCAGCCGCAGCAGCCGCCGCAGACGAGGCAGGCGAGTACTCTCCCACCTGGGTGGCCTGGAGCTGGTGGTGGTCGTGCGCGTGGTGGTGCACCGGGTGGTGGTTCTGGAGGCGGGCCCTGTCAGTACCAGATCCAGACCGGTCCTCGCCGCGGCTTCGTTTGCGGTAAGATCGGTCATTCTACTCCTCGCTGTTTTCGTCGCCTGGACGACCTGTTCCGCCAGCGCTTTGGCCCGGCGCCCGACCTCCCGGACTGGCACAGCTTGCTTAGGCGTAGCATTAGGATTTTTGACTTGGACATGGATGCCATTGTAGCGGCCTTGCATGTGATGTATGCTGATGACTCTAGTGTGCTTCCCTCTTATTACCCCGTGTTGCCTAGTGTAGCGGTGCCTAGCGTAGACTCCCCTGCTGCGTCAGGCGTAGGATCTCCTGCTTTGCTTAGCCTTGGTGCTTCCACCGCTTCACTGCTGCCTCGCGCGACTGCTGCGCTTTCCTTCACCTTGGACTCTGGCGCCTCCCGGTGTTTCTTCCGCGACTCCACGACGCTGACGCCGCTGCCTGTTCCCGCTGCAGTTACTCTTGCTGACCCCTCCGATGGTCCCGTCGTTGCCCGCAGTTCCACCTCCCTTCCCTGTCCGGCGGTTCCTTCGGGCACTCTCACAGGTCTGCATATCCCCTCGTTCTCCAGGAACCTAGTTGGTGTCGGCTGCCTCCAGGACCTTGGCGTCACCACTACGTTTCCTGGTCACGAGCGGTATGCTGTCTGTACCGAGGCCGCCACTGGTGCCCCCCTTACCACTTTCCCCCGGGACCCGGTGTCCGGCCTGTTCACACTTGACACCGCGCCGTCCCCGGCTGGGTCTTCCCCCCCGGTAGCTGCGTCCACCCAGGTTGCAGCCGCGTGCTCCTGTCGGTCCCTCACTCACCCGACTCTCCTTTGGCACCACCGCCTTGGTCACCCTGCACTCCCACGTCTGCGTCACATGTCCCAGCACGGTCTCGTCCTTGGTCTCCCCGGTTCGTTCCCCGAGTTTCCCTCCTCCCCCGCCCCACCGTGCACGCCTTGTGTCGAGGGCCGGCTCCGCCGTGCCCCTCACTCCTCCTCTTTTCCCCCTACCACCGCACCACTGCAGACTCTGCACATGGACGTCTGGGGCCCAGCCCCGGTCCATGGGCCGCGTCGCGAGCGCTTCTTCCTAGTGCTTGTCGACGACTTCACGCGCTACACCACCGTCTTCCCCCTGGAGCGGAAGGCCGACGTGCCTGACGTTCTCATCCCCTGGCTTGTCTCTGCTCGTGTCCACCGCGGTCTCCCTGCCTTGCGCCTTCACTCCGACCGGGGTGGCGAGTTTGCCTCAGGTGTCCTTGGTCGCTTCTGTCGTGCGGAGGGCATCACCCAGACGTTTACCCTGCCGGACTCCCCGCAGCAGAATGGGGTCGCTGAGCGACGCATCGGTTTGGTCATGGAGGTGGCTCGCACCTCCATGATCCACGCCGGTGCACCCCATTTTCTGTGGCCGTTCGCCGTGCGCTACGCCGCTCACCAGCTTAACCTGTGGCCGCACCCCCAGCGGCCGCAGGTTTCGCCGACCCTTCTGTGGACCGGGTCCCCTGGTGACGCGTCTGCGTTCTGCGTCTGGGGCTGCCTTGCTCACGTTCGTGCCTCTGGCACGGACAAGCTCACTGCCCGCACCCTCCCCTGCGTCTTCCTCGGTTTCCCCCTTGACGCGTCCGACTGGCACTTCTACCACCCGCCGTCCCACCGCTTCTTTCACTCTCGCGACGTCACCTTTGACGAGTCCGTCTCCTTCTACCGCCGCTTCCCTCACCGTGGTCCCCCGGTTACTCCCCCCCTGTTCCTGGTCCCTCCTTCCCCGGTGGTCCCTGCCCCTCCCCCCCCCCCGCCCCCCCGTCCGGCCCCCTCTGGTGTGTCTCACGTCACCCCCCTCCCGTCGGTCGTCCCGGTCGACGAGTCTTCTGACTCTGGTAGTCCTCCGGCGCAGTCCTCGCCGTCTGTCCCTCCCCCGGTGTCTCCTCCTCCACCGCCTCCGCAGCCGCCGTCGCCGCAGCTGCTGCAGCCGTCGTCTCCACCGCCGCCGCCGTTGCAGCCGTCGTCTCCGCCGCCGCCGCCGTCGCAGCCGTCGCTGCAGCCGCCGCCGCCGTCGTCGCTGCCGCCGTTTGTGGACTCTGGGGGTGTCCCTTCTGGGGGTGCAGGTGTGGAGGGTTCGGGAGGTAGCCGTCGCGCAGCTTGTGGCCCTGGTGTTGGTGTTGTGTCGCCGCAGCAGCAGTCCCCGCCTGTGTCCGCCCTCCGTCTGCTCGGCCTTCCGTCTCCTGACCCTGCGCCTGTTCCTCTCCTGCCGTCTCCCCCTCTTCCCGTCTACGGCCCCGTGTTCCCTCTGCCAGACTCGTCCCCGGCTCGTCTTCCCCCTCGTTCCCCTCCTGTGTCCCCTCCTCTGTCTCCTGACCCGACGCCGCCCTCACACGTCTGGTCTCGCCGCCCCTCTCGTGCTCGTCCTGTCTCCCCTGTCCCGCGCTCTCACCCTATGTTGCTCCGTTCCCACGCGTCTCGACCTCCCCTCCTCCCGTCTCCTCCTCCGTCTTCTCTTGTCGTTGCGTCTCCTCCTCTGTCCGACTCCTTTCGTGCCGCTCGTCCTCTTGTTCCTCGGGTCCTTGCCTCTCTCGTTACCGACCCGTCTGTTCCCGTGTCGAGTCTTGACGCCCTCGTCGCTGCGGTCGCTGACTTCGCCTCTACCCGCCGCCTTGACTACGCCACCGCTCTGGTCTCTCACCCTGCCTGTCCTCCGTCTGTCGGGGGTGCTCCTGCCCTCGGCAGTGACGTCCTGGAGGACCGCCAGTTTGAGCTTGCTTTCCTGTCCGAGGCTGCTCCCCATCTCTGTTCCATGCTGCTAGTCCCTGAGGGTGACCCAGACGCTTTCGACATCCCGACCCCTCGTACTTACGCTGAGGCGGTTTCGGGACCCTGGGCCTCTCAGTGGATAGCTGCCATGGAGCAGGAGATGGCATCTTGGAGATCCACCGGCACCTTCGTCGACGCAGTTCCCCCACCTGGGGTGAACGTGGTCGATGGCCGTTGGCTCTTCAAGGTGAAGCGCCCTCCTGGAGAGCCGCCTGTGTTCAAGGCGCGCTACGTGGCTAGAGGCTTCAGTCAGCGCGAGGGGGTGGACTTCTTTCAGACTTTCGCTCCTACCCCGAAGATGACTACTCTTCGGGTGCTGCTACACGTAGCGGCTCAGCGTGACTACAAGCTTCACTCCCTCGACTTCTCCACTGCCTTTCTTCAGGGCAGCCTTCACGAGCAGGTCTACCTGCGTCGCCCTCAGGGCTTTACTGGCACCTTCCCCCCTGGGACCCAGTGGCTTCTGCGCCGGCCAGTCTACGGCCTGCGCCAGGCGCCTCGTGAGTGGCACGACACTTTGCGTGCTACCCTTGCTGACCTGCAGTTCTTTCCGTCCTCTGCAGACCCCTCGCTCTTCGTTCGTGCTGGCTCGACTCCGTTCTACATCCTCGTCTACGTAGACGACCTGGTCTTTGCCACTGCTGACAGGGACGCACTGGCCTCCGTGAAGGCAGAGCTGCTGAAGAGACACACCTGCACTGACCTTGGAGAGCTGCGCCGTTACCTTGGCTTGCAGATCTCCAGGGACAGAGCCGCGCGCACCATCACCCTGACTCAGTCACACTTGGTGCGCCAGGTCCTTCAGAGGTTCGGCCTTCAGTTCTCCTCCGCACAGCCCACCCCTCTTCCTCTGGACCACAGACTCTCCGCTCCAATTCCTGAGGAGTCGGTAGATCCCAGTGGTCCTTACGCTGAGCTAGTGGGTTGCCTCATGTACCTGATGACTTGCACTCGCCCAGATCTCGCATACCCTCTCAGCATCCTGGCTCGTTTCGTGGCCACAGGCAGGCACCGACCTCAGCACTGGTCTGCCGCTAAGAGGGTTTTGCGTTATCTTGCAAGTACATCGGGCATGGGGTTAGTGCTAGGCGGACGCAGGCCAGTGGTCCTTACTGGACACACAGACGCTTCTTGGGCAGACGACGCCGAGACGCTCAGGTCTTCCCAGGGCTACTGCTTTAGCCTTGGTTCAGGTGCTGTCTCGTGGAGAGCTACCCGCTCTTCGTCTGTTGCCCAGTCCAGCTGTGAGGCCGAGATCTACGCCGGTGCCATGGCGGCACAGGAGCTCCGCTGGCTGACCTTCTTGCTCACTGACTTAGGTGAGCGGCCTAGCTCTGCCCCGGTCCTGTACGCTGACAACAGGGCCATGATCCTCCTGTGTCAGGAGCCTCGACTCGAGGGCAGAGCGAAGCACATCCAGCTGCGGTACTTCCTCCTGCGTGAGCTACAGCAGCGTCGCCAGGCTCGCGTAGTACACTTAGCCTCCGGTGCCAACACAGCTGATATCTTTACGAAGGCGCTTGCGCCTAAAGATCATCAGCGGCACTATGTACAGCTTGGTCTGGTTCCTGTAGTCTCTCACTTACTCGGGCCTTGACTTTGTACTGTCCTATATATCTGTGTGTACACTCAGACTGGACTTGTGTCCTCTTACAGTGGTTGGACTAGTAGTGCCGCCCTGTACTAGTTCTTGCCTTGCCTGTACTCCTTCTGACTGGTCTTTTAGACCCTTGTCTCAGAGGCTGGACTAGTAGTGCCACCCTGAGCTGCTTGTCTAGAACATTCCCCTATGCAGTCCAGGGGGTGTGTCAAACATGTTTAGTTATCATGCTTGTATAGACTGTATAGGGTCATCTTCTAGAGAGTACAAAAGTTAGGTATATGTTTGTGTACTCTCTCTCTCTATTTATCAATTTCACTGTTTGATATCTAGCTCACTCGATGGGAAGGAGAACTACTTGGTTCTCCAGTACATGCACGGAGAACCTTATGTGAACGTAGATGACGGCATGTCCCTGCGGGGGAGGAGCTGGGAAATAGCGGCCTTGTTTAATGTCCAACTCAGCAAGTCCATAAGATAGGCTACCATGACAGCACAGCAGTGTTGTGTGGCAAGGTCTCTGAACCAGCTTAGTCTAGAGATGGAACTGCAGCAAGAGCGAAGAGCGGAGGGAGAGAGCAAGGCGCTTCATGTAGTCTGTGCTGCACCCAACTCGATCCTGCGAGGAAGCAAGCAGAGAAAAGAAACAAGAAGCTCGGCATCACTGCATGCAGAAGAGGCTCGGAATGGTTGAGTAGAAAAGGCAGGCTCTGACGAGACGAACCAAGCAATGGATCATGGCGTGCAGCACACTGAGTGTAGTTCAGGGAAGCCACACGGGATGGATCAAACGACCCTTGTGGCTGGTGGGGCTGCCCATCTGTACCCTGCAGCACACACCCCTGCCAGCTCACCTCGTTCACCTCCACTAGTCTGTTGACACTTGGCAGCACCTCTCTCGCCACAGCCTCCAGGTCAGCAGAGGTCCCAACCACAGACTCAAACTCCTCCCTGCTCTGAACCGCCCCTGCCACCCCTCCCGGCCCTGCTGCTGCTGCCTCACCCTCCTCTCCCCCTGCCATTGCCCCGAAGCCCGCCCCATCAACCCCCGCAGGGGACGGGGAAAGGCGCGGCCCTTGGACTCGCAGGGAGCGAGGGCGGGAGGAGAAGGTGGTGGGGGAGGGCGAGAGGGAGGAGGGGAGGGGCGAGGAGCGGTTGAGAAGGGTGTGGTGGAGGGAGAAGTGGGCGAGCAGGATGTGCAGCAGGTGCTCTGAGATGAAGAGGATCCATGTGAGCGCGCGCTCCTTGGTGGATGCCAGGCTGGCAAGAATCAAGAGGGCTTGACGGCGCCTGCCACATGGAAGTGGAGGAAAGGGAAAAGCGTTCAAGTGTAAGTGGAGAGAAGAGAGGGTTACCCGGGGGAGAAGTGCGCGAGAGGGACGTGCAGGGAATGCTCTCAGACAATAAAGATCCATGTGAGCGCACGCCACACACTCCTTGGTGGATGATCCAAACTGGCAAGGGTTCGTAGCACTTGGTGCCACCTGTATGGTGGGAGGCGGTGCTAAGGGAAAGCAACTCCACGTGTCGACGAGATACGGCAAGGAGAGGCGAGGAGTGGAAAAAGCCTGGGACCTGCAACGCAAACAGTAAGCGCGCTTCCACCTTGGGCAACCAGGATATAGATGAAGAACAAGGAAGCTGATATAGACAACACAGTAACTGAATATTGCTGAGGCACATCAAAGAGTTGACGAAGAAAGGGAATTCATTTTCCTACAAACAATACGCTTAGTTTCAGGCAATTCGAAAGGAATAGAAGGAAGGGGTGTGCCCTTGTCCGAGGGAGAGACGCATGAGGAGGCGTTGTGATGCGCATTGTGATGCGCGTTGTGACGCGCGTTGTGCCGCGCGTTGAGATGCGCGTTGTGATGCGCGTTGTGATGCGCGTTGTGATGCGCGTTGTGATGTGTGTTTTGATGCGCGTTGTCATGTGCGTTGTGATGCGCGCTGTGATGTGCGTTGTGATGCGCGCATAGACGGCTTCAACGACAGACAAGGACGAGGGAAAGGCTGACGGGGCGTACGCTTGTCTGAGGGAGAGGTGCGCGTGGCTGTGGTGCGCGTGGAAGGCCGTGGCCTTGATGAGCTCCTCTGCCTCGTGCCGTGACATGTCGTTCACATCCATCAGCTGCAGGGGCCATGGTGTGCCATACCATGCCATAACAACAGGGTCAGGGAGAGGGGGAAAAGAGAGGGCGGGGAGAGGTGGTGAGGTTGGAAGAATGTGGCCTTGATAAGCTCCTCTGCCTTGTGCCGTGACATGTCGTTCACATTTATCAGCTGAGGGGGTCGTGCCATGCCAAACATCATGTGCCATGGTGTGCCATGCCATGTCACGACATAAACATACCTGGGGCAAGGAATATGAGAGGGCAAGAAAGACGAGATAGGAGACGGAGCAGGATTGTGCACAGTGAATTATTGTGCAAATGCAAAATTGCATGTTGGGGCACTCAACAACGGGGATTAGGCCAGGAGTGTTGCAGTGCTTCGGGCCTCCGCAGCTGCCTACAGGCCAATGACCATCTGACAGAGCAGGGCCCAGTGCTGTGCGGTCCTGTGTTCTGCTGTGTGGTACTGACCAATGAGACATACACACGCGTACCTTAGTGAGGGCAGTGCCACGGGCCTCCACAGCTGCCTGCAGGTCGATCACCATCTGACGGAGCAGGTCGGATAAAAGGCTCAATGTGGGGCCCTGATGCTGCCACGAGGCAGGCAAGGAGGGATGGAGACAGTTAGACGAGCAGAAGAGCGGCAGTGGGTATGTGAGAACGAGGTCACAGCAATGTGACTGTGCGTATGACATGTGGAGAATGCACACGTGCGACAAGGTGAGTGCCACCACAGGGAGTGTTGTGATTGGGGATATTGCTAGAAGATAAACTCATTCTATTATCCAGCAAACATGGGAAGATATAGCCACCCTAAGAAATTTGGAGTGTACACTAAAGTGAACCACCCTAGTTGGTCTGAGTTCCCAAAGGGGTTGGGTTCCCCTCCTTGGCCACCAATAATTGAGGCCACGATTATTGGCCCCAACAATAACTTGGACAACCCAATGTATCGGTGGGAGGCAATAATGTTGGCACAGGACCCAAGCAACACATGAATGACATGTGAATGACATGTGAGGACTGATGACACTCGACAACAGTGAGGCTAGCACAGACAGGTGAGGGCAGGCCAGATGGATGCTAAGTGGGGAAGTCTCCTGGCACCTGGTTCTTAGACGCAGCCTGGAGAATCACCTTGTCCTTAGAGGCAGCGTGGCGAATCACCTGGTGCTTGGAGGCAGCCTGGCGAATCACCTGGTGCTTGGAGGCAGCCTGGCGAATCACCTGGTGCTTGGAAGTCGCAGGCAGCAGGAGGCCTTTGAAGGCCACGAGGGAGCGAAGGTGGGACATCAAGTTCGCCCGCACTCTCAACACACCCTCCACCATCGCATGCTCCTCCTGGGAGAGCGACGAGTGGATGAGCAGATGGGAGGGAGGGCACGGGGGAGAGTGGGACAAGCATGGACCGAGGTAAGACAGCAGGTGAGCCCCACTCTTAACATCCCCTCCAGCATCTCTGGCGGGATGAATTGGAACGCGGGGAGGGGTGGAGGGGCGCAAGAGAGGGGAGGGAGGTGTGGATGATGGGGAAAAGGAAGAGCTGCGAACGTGAAAGACTGATCACGAAACAGCACGTGCGGCACCAGCAGTGAAAGTTTCGAGACGTCTCAAAGACACCTTCTTTCATGCTGCACATCATCGTACCTCTGGCACGAGCAGGGAGAGCGAGATCCCTCCGATCTCCCCCACCCTGTCGTCCTCCTCCCTCCCCACGCGCTGTCGAATGTACTTCACCCGGCTCTCCCCATCGCCCACGCTGTACGCCGCCGCCACGCGCATCATGAGGCCCCTCACGCCCACCAGCTGCGATGCGCTGGCCCATAGCAGAGCCTGGAGTACAGAGAGAGATGGGGAACGAGGTGTGTCAGTACGCCAGCATACTAGAATGGGCTTCATGCGCCTCTCCCCATCCCCCACGCTGTGCGCTGCTGCCACGCACAACACACAGCCTCGCATGCCCACCAGCTGGGAAGGGCTAGCCCATAGCAGTGCGTGGGGCCAAGGGAGAAGGAGACAGGGAGCGAGATGGAAAGGGATAAGAAGGGAGAGACGAACTCTCCCCATTCCCCACGCAGTAAGCTGCTGAGGGGAGGAGGAGGAGGTCGGTGAGGTTGCAGGAGGACGGCAGAGAGATGGGAGAGACGGGACGAGAAAGCGATGGTAGTTTATCTTGAGAGAATGGCGGAGGAGAGGGAGAGCAGCAGCAGGTCGGTGGGGTTGCAGGAGGGTGAGCACGCTTCTAGTAGGCGAGAGAGCATGGCGTCTACAGAAGGAGAGAAGGAAGGCAGACAGGGTAGGGAACATCTTACCCGAGAGAGGAAGCCGGTGGGGAGGGAAAGCAGCAGCAGGTCCGTGCCACGGTGGGGTTGCAGGTGGGCAGAGAGATGGAAGTGAGAGGGCGAGGGACAGACAGTAGACGGTAGCTACCCAGGAGAGGAAGGCGGTGGAGAGCGAGAGCAGCAGCAGGTCGGTGGGGTTGCAGGAGGGCGAGCGGACCTCCAGCAGGCGAGAGACGGAGTATGGGATACTCTACCCGAGAGGGGGGATAGGATATAGTTTACCCGAGAAAGGAGCGCAGTGCAGAGCGAGAGCAGCAGCAGGTCGGTGGCATTGCAGGAGGGCGAGCGGTCCTCCAGCAGGCGGGAGAGCATGGCCTCGTGGTGGGCGGCGAAGTCCACCAGCTGGGATGCTACGTCTGCCTTGGACTGTGCATGGGGCAGTGAGGTGAGAGTCACATGTAAGGGGCAGTGAGGTGAGAGTCACATGTAAGGGGCAGTGAGGTGAGAGTCACATGTAAGGGGCAGTGAGGTGAGAGTGGATGTGTAAAGCGTATCATGGACAGTAAGGAATAAGATGCAGCTCTAGCGAGCTGCTGGAGTGCTTCACGGATGGATGGTTAGTGTGGTGTCTCTATAATCCATTGATGGGAGATGTAACAAAGAAACAAAAGGAGAGCTTGTCCACACGGAGAAGCAAGGGTGGCATGAGTGAGAGGTGATGACTCACGGCACACACGTTGTGAACAGCAAGGCACACGTGTGACAACAAACCCACGTGGTGCAGCACACGACTCACAGTGGCATCTGAAGGTGCAGCATGAGGCGAGAGTGAGGCATCAGGTGGGGCGAGAGCAGAGAGGGCGAGCAGCAGGCGCAGCACGGGGGACACGAGGTGAGCAAAGCGCAGCGACTCCGAGGGGGCATCCAACGGTGAGAGGCCCACCGGGGTGGGCGCGAGGTAGGACGACTCCTGGATAGCACAGTGGGAGATGGAGGGGTGGCGTCACATGGAATGCAATGAGCAGGAGCAACGACGTGAGCGAAGCGCAGTGACTCAGAGGGGACGTCCAGGGATGAGAGGCACACCTGGGGGGGTTCTACGAAAGAGGATTTCTAGATTGTGCAGTGGGAGATGGAGGGGTGGCATGACAGGGAATGGAATAAGCAGGAGGGAAAGTGAGGAGCAAAGAACAAGGATACTAAGTACACCCACAAACCTCGCACGGAAGCCCAGCATCATGGTGCACACTGCACAGTGCACCTTGGTACTGCAAGATGCGGCAAGATGCGCAAAGAAAGAGATTGATTCCACTTAAACATCAAGACGATGCGTTGCAACATGGCAAGTGATGCCATGGCACAGCGTCTCACTGCAGTGCTCACAGCAACAGGAACATTCAGCGAGGGGCAAGCAGCCATGGCTCTGAGGAACTTCGAATTCAGCAGCAGCAGCCCCTGGCAGCAACGAGTACATAGCATGCCATGGCATGGCACAGCACTGCAGCACTCACAGAAATGGGCGCATCAAGCGATGGGCAGGCCGCCATGGCTCTGAGGAACCCTGCGTTGAGCAGCAGCAGCAGCCCCTGGCGGCCCGTGGAAGAGGCGATGGAGAGCAGCAGGGAGAGGTGAGCCTCGGTCACAAAGGCCTGACGCTGGGAGTCAGCAGAGGGGAGCAGGAGCACCTGCACGAGGGGGGCGGATAGGGGTGGGGAGGGGGAAGGAGGTGAGCAGCGTGGCGTGGAGGAAATACCAAGGCAGATGAAGCAGCAGCAACAGTCGTTAGTGTTTGAGGCAGCGGAGAGAGGACAGCCTGTTGCAGGCGAAGGGGAAAGGCAGACACCCACGTCACGCACCTCTGTGATCCCTTTGCTGACGTCAGCAATGCATGCCTGCACCATTCCATGTGCCTGCATCTGAGTCAGCACAGCTGCTGCTGACGTGGACGCCACAGCCAGTGATGATGTCATCCCGGGCGCCAAATCCGGCAGCCGGCCAAACCCAATCGGCAGATTTTGACTCTGACCCCCCACGGATTGCGCAAAGATGCTCCGGTTGTCCCGTCCAGCTGTCGCGATGCCATTGGTCGGCGCCAGGCTGGCAGAGGCAGCGATTGGATCGGAGGAATGGGAGAGGAGGGAGGAGAGTGCGGCGAGTGCGAGGGAGCGAGTGAGGGGGGAGGGGGAGGAGGAGGCGTCGTGCGAGAGAGTGCGGATGAGGGCAGGCAGGTGCGGCGTGAGGAGGGCGTGCGTGGCTCGCTGCACCTCCCTGCGCTGCCGCTCCAACTGACCGGCAGAGGTGGGTGGGAGGGGAAGAGACAGCGGGGAGAATGGGAGGCACACAAAGTGCGTGCAAGAGGGAAAGCAGACTAAGTTGGCAGGTGGGGAGTGGGAGGGCGTGTGTGGCTCGCTGCAGCTCCCTGGGGAAGTGAAAGGGGTGGGAGGAGGGGAGGAAGCGGGGTGAGGGGATGCAGGCAGGGGTGCAGTAGACACGTGGGGAGTGAGGTGGGCGAGTGTGGCTCACCACAGTTATGTGCACCGGCACTTCAGCTGAAGGGGAGAGGTGACGCGCGGAACGGGAGAGGAAGAGAAAAACGGGAAGCGGGATGAAGAACATTTAAGAAGAAAATGGTGCCAGAGTTTCACATTTCAGAGTAGGTGATTCTGAATTCGAAAAACAATAACCTGCATTACTTATTGCATCTCGAACAAAGTTGTTTTGGCTGACATGTGTGAAGGTTGGTGCATGTCGAACTGTACAGGTGACTTCGTAAACGGGAAAGAGGTGGTGAGGGAGGGGGAGAGGGTGTGTGTGTATATGTATGCATGTGTGTGTGTGTGCTGTGAGTATGTGAGAGAGGGATGGCAAAAAAGAGCAGAGTGCACCATGTCCAGGGACTCGAAGGATGTATCTTCCCCCTCTTCCCCCCCTTTCTCCCCCCCTCCAGCACACACCATACCCAAGGAGCGGTTGAAGGACGCCTCTTCCCCCCAATCCCAATCCCCTCCCTCCTCCCACCCCCCCTCCCACCCCCACCCCCACTCCCCTAACACACACACCATGTCCAGCGAGCGGTCGGAGGAAGCTTCTTCACCGGGTAGCTCCTTGAGGATGACGCCCATGACAGCTGGCGAGATGTCCACGTCAGCATTGCGGAAGCGGCGCGAGCAGATGGTGAGGAAGGCGAGGAGAGACGTGTAGAGCCTGGGGGGGGAGGGAGAGAGGGAGGGAGAGAGGGAGGGAGAGCGGGAGGGAGAGGGGGAGGGAGAGGGGGAGGGAGAGGGGGAGGGAGAGGGAGAGGGGGAGGGAGAGGGGGAGGGGGAGGGAGAAGAAAGAAGAGGAAGCAGGGGGAGGGAGAGAAAGGAAAAAGGAGAGAGTAGAGCTGATGATGTCATCACGCCAGGTTTGCAATGGTATTAATTAAAGGGAGAGTCGCAAAAGGGCGCGGAGAGAGGATGCCCAAATGCGTCTGATGGGAGTGAGAGCGAGAGAGACAAGTATCCCAAGCGAAGCAGCTCAACAAGGCGTATGAATTCCTCTCAACTCAAGCCATTGGAGGGGCCTGGTCGCTCACCTCCTCCTGAGGCTATCTGAAGAGTCTTTCCTCATCAGCGCGCCCAGCAGGTCTCTCAGCAGTCCCGTGCACTCCGACAATGATACCTGCCTCCTTCCCCCACCACTCCCTCCCACGTTCGCTCTGCCTCCCCCGCCTCCTAGTCCTTCCCTGCTGCTCGCGTCTGAGAGGGAAGATTGGCCAATCACATCGCTCCAAGTCACCTCGCCTGCGTCGTCAGACGATGGTGCTTCGGAGGATGAGGTGGAGGAGGGGGAGGAGGAGGAGAGGTGTTGGAGCTGGAGGAATGCCACGAGGACGACCTGGATGGGCGAAAGGAAGAGGACAGATTGGGTCACTGTAAAGGGAGAGGGCATGGCAAGCGAGGAGGCTGCGCAACTAGAGGAAAGACACGAGGACAACGTGGGCAGAGGGAAGGGGAGGGAAGAACAGAGGAGATGTAGGAAGTGAGGAATGGTGTACAGGAGGAGGGGGGGAAAAGAGGAGGAGGGGAGAGATGGGGAGCTGGAGGAAGGCCATGAGGACGACCTGGGAGGAGGAAAGGGGAGGGAAGGGCATATTTGTTAAGAATGGGGACATGCTCAGAACACCCTGTGGAGTGGAGTGTGCATGTAAACAGAAGAGAGACATTCTAGGAGACAGCGACCTGGGAGACAGTCACCTGGGAGATGGGCTTGGCGAGGGTCAAGGAGACGTGGGGCGCTGCTATGGCCCTCAGACACGAGGAGAGCAGCCTGCAGAGGAGGACAGCGGGAGGCAAGGTGGGAGGCGAGCAGAGAGGGGAGAGGAGCTAAGTAGTGGGAGGGACATGAACGTGCACAATGTGAAAGCGCACTATACTAGGAGACAGGAAGGAACGGAAGATTTGAGAACAAAAAAACACAGGAAACCATTCAAATGAAGGGAGGAGGTTGAAAGAAGTTTGGCAAGAGGGGCTTGCAGGGGAAACTTCTGGCTTGGTACAAGAAGTAAAGCCTGAACTCACTGCAGCAAGGCTTCCAGCCTGGCATGCGGCGGCAGCAGATCAAATCTTCTCGACAGCGCCATCTGCAGCAGCTGCGCCCACGCCAGAGCCACGTGCTGCTGCGCCGCTGCCTCCTCCTCCACCCGGTTGCGCCGCCACACGAACCTCAGGGCTTCCCTTACTGCCTCCTGCCGAATCTCTGCCGAGCCTGCTGCTGCGCCTGCCACCCCGAGGTTTGGGCCTGGAAGGAATGGTGCTCCCGGGCCTCTCTGTGCCTCAAGTATGGAGAACCTCTGGGGGGCAAGGTTGGTAGGTTGCAGTGATTGGGTTGGGAAGAGGAGGAAAGAAATGCAAAGGAGGAGAGTGGCAGAAAGAGATGGTGTGGGTTGAGAAATGAGCAGAGAAACGCAAGAAGGGTGGGAGACGCTTTCTTGTCGACTCAAGAGACCATGGGTGAAGGGCGCATGGAGGGGGATGGGAGACGTGCACTGTGTAAGAGAGACAATGCGAGTTGCCACGAGTGTGAAAAGTAGACTACGCACTAGCATGACAATATTGTGATAAGAATATCTGAGAGCACCTGAGAGAGACTACGTGAAAGCACCTGCGAGGAAAGTTTTGAAAGAGCACCCGAAACAGAATAGCTGAGAGCACCTGAGAGAGGATGTGTGAGAGAACCTCTGAGAGGATGTGCGAGAGGGCAGCGAGGTCCACGAGTCTGTCGCCCCTCTCATTCACTTCAAACACGCCCCCGTCCGCCACTGATGCCGCCGTTCCTAGCAGTTCCTCTAGCTGCAAAAAAGGAGGGGGGGGGATGGAAACGGGGGAGAGGGGGAGTGGGGGGAGGAGGGGGATCGCGGAGACAGAGAGGAATGGTGCACCACAGCCACAGTTTCATGAGGGTGCTAGGAGAGCGCAATAGAAAGGCGACACCTCCGTTGTCTCGCCTTTCTTTGCCTCCGCTTTCCACAGTGGTGGATGATACGGATAAAGCTTTCGAAATCTGTCTTTCTTCCCTTCCTTTCCCCTCCTCTATCTCGTTCCTCTCCCTCGTGAATGCATCATGCTGTTAATACAAATACAAATGAACAACGGATACGCATACGTGCTTCCAACATCGGCCTATAAAAGGAGACGCTTGCGACTTGAGGCAACCAGGCGCCTGGAAACTCCTTTTGGATTGAAACCACATTCTTCACATTTGAACTACAGACCGCTTCCCGTCAACGAGAAATTCCATAGTTTCATTTGGGAGTAGGAGCGAGATTGTGGCTGGCTGGCAGGTGAACATTGCACACATTCTTGTTCCAACCCCTAGAAGAAATCACGAGATTTCTCGTTGATGGAAAGCGGCTTACAGTTCAGACTTTAAAGATGGATATTCAAACTTGTTTAGCCACGAAGGATTTTCCACACGCTTGGTGGCCTCAAGTTGCTCGCAAGCATCCCCTTTTACAAACGAAAATGGGAGCACGCATGCGACTATCCATTGTTCATTGGTATTGTTACTAATCGCATGATATGATTACAGATCTGCAGGAGGAAAGCGAAGGAGACAGAGGAGGAAAAGGCAAGGGAGAAAGGCAGATTCGGAAAGCTTCATCTGTGGCATCCACCACTGTGGCACCCACGTAGCATGTCATTCTCTCCATTTTTCTACAGTGTAAAAGTATGCCCTAGTCCTATTTGTATGTAGTGAAGTTGAAGCGGTGTAGATGCCCCGCATAAAAGGTGGTGGACAGTGAAATCTCTTGGACAGAAGATGTAAGAATTATTGGAAATGCCCCGACAACAGAGCACATGCACGGAAGACGTACCTGCAGTTGCTGGTGCACGGCAGCAATGTGCGGGGGGAACTTGGGAGCAACGTCTGGGAGAGAGAAGAGGAACGAGTCCAACAGCTGAATGGCCTGAGGCAGAGGCGAGGGAGGGGACGGAGGGGATGGGGGGGATGGAGGGGAGGGAGGGGAGGAGGGGGAGGGGGGGAGGGGAGGGAGGGGAGGGAGGGGAGGACGGGAGGGAGGGAAAGGCAGAAAGGGAAGATGAAAGCGATATGGGTGGGAGGCCTTTGAGGGGTGGTAGAGCAAGAGAAACGTGGGAGAAAGGTCTCCTCAGGAGAGTCAAAGCAAAAAAACGCACACATCTCAAGCTAGCCCTATTCAACGAGCAGTACTGAAACCGTCACCCTTCTCCCGAATGCTTGCTCTTACTCACCCCGAGCACATCCCCCCTTGCACCCTCTGCCTGCTGCTCCCCTCCCCCCCACACCACCAGCGCCCCACTTCCCCCCTCCCCCACTTCAGTCGCTCCTCCCACCCCCCCATCTGCCATGAACAGTGCCGACAGAATCTGCCGCCAAATCTCCAGTTGCCGTCCGGTGATGGCAGAAGGGGCGGCGTGGCGAGTATGGTGCTTGTGGGGGTGTGAGGCTGGAGGAGTGGTGTGGAGGGCCAGCGCGAGGAGCTTCAGCAGCCACGCATGCTGTGGGAGAGGGGAGGGCGGGGGGGGGGAGAAGGGGAGGAAGAGGGGACAGAGGAGGAGGGCGGGGGGTGTGGGGGGATGGAGGAAGGGAGCAGAAAGTTATGGTGAGTGGTGGAGAGACAGAAGTGCATAAGCCAGAAGAGTGCAGTGCTTGTGGGGCTGTGAGGTTGGCTTGGCAGGACTGTGTGGAGGGTCAGGGCGGGAGACTGGGAAAGATTGATGATGTTTCAAGACGCCCCACAGATCGTTACATCTGCTGAGTCTGGCCGGTTGGTTGCAAGAGGCTCCAAACGCATGCGCATGGAATGCAAGTACGACAACTGTTCAGCGGAAGGAAGGAAGGGAGGAAGGAAGGGAGGAAGGGCATCAAGTCAGACTTTCAGGAGTGAACGAGCAGAGCGGGTGGGCAGCTGACGTTGAAAACACGCGCTTCGGATCCAAGAATCAACCAACAGACTCAGCAGCTCACCTCATGCAGGCACGCCACCCTGTGAATCGGGCTGCTGCTGCGGCGAGGAAGAGGCGCCAGGAGGGCGGAGGAGAGCATTGGAGCGAAGAAGTCAAACGGCTTCGCCTGCAGCAGCACTGCTGTGGGGCCCGCTGTGGCCGGGTCTGCTGCCAACAGGTACAGCACCCGGGCGCTCATCTCCCGCAGGCGAGCCAACCGCAGGCTGACACGTGGCGGGGAGGGGGCGTCTGGCTGGTCGGATTCAGATTCGGGTTTGTCCTCTGCTCCCGCTGAGAGAACGAGGTCGAGCAGAATGCGGAGGGCGCTGTGAAGGGCAGTGAGCAGGGTGAGTGTAGGGGTGCAAAATGTAGGGGTGCGAATGTTGGCAAGGCGTAGAGATGTAGGATGCGTGCAGCGGAAAGTCTGCTTCTCGAGAGCTCGTGTTGAAGAGGAGGGAGTGGGCTGGACAGCGGACAACGGCATCCGTGCCATGGGCAGGACGCACAACATGCATTGCGGGCAACAACACGATCTCCGAGCCCAGCAAGCACCATATTACCGCCGAGAACTCCTCTTCATCAAAACTGCCTGTAGGGCTCCAGCCTGCACGCAGCAAGCGGCCTTTGAAGTGTGCCTGGTAGGTATGTCGAGAGGTGCCACAAAGCTTACCTGAACAAGCGGTTGGGCTGCAGCATGGAGGCAGCAAGAGGCCTTTCTGTCACTGATATTTACAGCCAAAACCAGCTACAGATAATGTCAGGAACCTGGAAGTGTACTACTGTCAGCGCTCACCTGAATTGGCAGTTGGGCTCCAGCACAGACGCGGCAAGTGGCCGCTCAGTCAATGATATCACTACACTACACAACCCCAACTATTTCAGGAATTCGGACGTGTACAACCGTCAAAGCTCACGCTCACCTGAACCTGCCAATGCTCACCTGAACCTGCCAATGCTCACCTGAACCGGCGGTTGGGCTGCAGCACAGATGCCGCAAGTGGCCGCTCCACGTCGAACCCGAGCAGCATGTGCGCCAGGGAGGGGGGCTGGCGGCGCAGAGACGTCAGCAGCAGCTGGGAACAGAATTGGGGGCAGATGGGAGCACAGAGCGCAGACAGGATGAGCGAGGAGCATGAGAGGGATGTATGTGCGAGTAGAGAGGGGGGAGGGGGGTGTAGAGACGCCAGGGCAGCTCAGTGCATGCGGGCTCCAGCATGATAGGGTAACTTCTGAAAGAATGCCGCACGATGCCTCGCCCAACTTACTTGCATCAATTGACGAATACGCTGACTCACCTGAAGAATGAGCGTGGCACAGTCTGCCTGCTCGCCCCCATCCCCCCCTTCCTCCTGCTCCCCATTCTCTCCACCATCCACAGTCACACTGCCAGCGCCTTCTACAGTCATGCTGCTGGCGCTGACGTCCAGGCACTCTGCAAAGTCCTCCACCAGGCGCTGCACCGCACCCGCCTCCAATGCCATCGCAACAAGTGGCACGCCGCGGGCACTGTGCGGGGCAATAGGTGGGGTGGGGGATGGAGATAGGAGAGAATGCGACCTTGTTCCTGGCAGGCACATGCACCTCTGCTGTGTCGCACATGAGACACCATGCTTCCACTGGCTGATGTTATTGACATAGGACCATCTCCAGCGTCGCCAGTCGTAATGCTCCCACGTTTTACCTCCCACTGCTGGAAAGGCGATGCCCTCCCAGTGAGAGTGCAGCCAGCAGTGGAAGTATTGGGAATGCCGATGTTGATGATGGTCCCACAACGAAAACGTCAGCCAACGGGAATGTGCTTTCACAGGAGGAGAAGCATAGTCCGATAGCCACAAGAAACTACCTTCATAGCTGTTGACATTGACACCACTTCAACTATCACCTGAAAATCAACCTGTGAACAGTGGCCAGCTCAACGCTGACCTCCAAATGGCAGCACAGGCAAAAGGAAAGTCTGGTTCGCCCCGACCATTAGATCATCAGATAATCAGGTGCCACAACGTAAATCTTAGTCATGGATCAGAAAGCCTGCAATGCAATAGTGATAATTTAAAATGCTTCCTCGGCTTTAGGCTCACGACAAAGCAGGCAACCTGAAGCCCCAAGGCAGCCAGAAACCCAGTAGCAGTAATCACCTGAAGACGCTTGTGAGCTCGATCGCCGACTGTTGGATCACATCCGACGGCTGGTAGCGCACGAAGGACATGACAGCTGTCACGAGGCCCACGTCCTCCCCGAGCACGAGGTGCAGCGGGCGCACGGCCGGCTGCCAGGTGTCGGCCAGCGATTGGTCGAGGGAGAGTGCGAGCAGCAGCAGGCGCAGGCTGGCAGCTACGGTGTCCTCAAGGGCAAAGGAGAGCGCCTGGGGGCGCATGGCTCGCTCCTCCAGGAGGGAGTCGGGGCCGGCTGAGATGATGGCGAGGATGTTGCGCAGGGCTGGCCCTGCTGATAGGAAGTCCTGGGAGCGGTAAGGAGAGGTGTGGAGAGGGGGCGGCGGGGAAAGGAGGCAGAAGGGTGGTGGGTTGCAAGTGGTGCACAGTGCATAAAGTCTCGGATCACTTTTGAGCTGATGCACGCACAGGTGCCACGTGCCGGGTGCCAGGTGCCAGGTGCCGGGTGCCAGGTGCCAGGTGCCAGGTGCCAGGTGCCAGGTGCCAGGTGCCAGGTGCCAGGTGCCAGGTGCCAGGTGCCAGGTGCCAGGTGCAAGGGAAACGACATACTGAGTGTGGGTGAAACAACAGCAGCATGCGAGAATATGACATGCATGCATGGCCATCAGAGGCGTGGATGTGACATGGATCGATGAGGCATGCAAGGGTGTGAGTTCCACAACAGATTTACATGACGACTGCATCTACCACCACCATCGCTCCACCCGCACCTTCATCAGCAGCAGCCCTGGTGTGGCGCCAGCTGGCAGCGTCCCATTGGCCGAGGAGGCAGAGAGAGCGGCAAGAGGAGGAGGGGATTGGAGAGGGGCTCGTTGCAGGAGGAGCAGGGCGAGCTGGAAGAGGGAGAGCGAGGAGAGCAGCAGGTGCCACATCTCATCGGCCCGGGCGTACACGCGGCGGGTGTACGGCACAAACACACTGTCCTTCACGAACTGAAAATACTCCAGAAACCTGTAGGGGGCCGGGGAGATGAGAGGGAGATGAGAGGGAGATGAGAGGGAGATAGAGAGGAGATGGCAAGTGGGGGGAGGCACAAGTTGCAGCATGGAGTAAGTAGTGGGTGTACGGCAGAAACACACTGTTCTGTACAGTGAGGACGGGAGGGAGAGGTGGGGGTGAGAGAGTTCAGCAAGCAGGAGGGGAGAGAGCAGGGTGACGCAAAATTTGAAGGGAGCAGTGAGCGTACGCCGTACGGCGCAAACGAGAAAGAAAGACGAAGAAAGAATTCAAAATTACAAATGCCTCTGAAATCACAGGGACAACAAGCCTAACACATTGCAACAGGTTTGTTTCACAATGCCGCGGCAGAAGGCTCGCAATGCAACGCATGCGGGACACACTCGCCTGGCGGGGCGGGAGAGGGGGTCGAGTGCGAGCAGCGTGTTGTGCAGGCGCAGGTAGGAGAGCGTGGAGGGGTACTCCTCCACCCGCGCCTCCACCTCGTTCAGCTCCATGCCCATGTCGTACGGCGCCGAGGGGGTGGCCTGGTGATGCAGGGAGTGGGGCAGCGCATGGCAGTTAACAACAACGTATGATATGCTGCACTGGAGCATGGAGGGGCGCTCCTCCCCCTCGCCTCCACCTCGTTCAGCTCCATGCCCATGTCGTACGGCGCCGAGGAGGTGGCCTGGTTGTGTAGGGAGGCGCAGCATGGCAGAAAGCAAGGCGACGTGTTGCACTGATGAAGGGGGCCAGGCCTGTTTGCTCTCGTCTCCACTTCATTCCGTTACATGCTCAAACATACGCCGCGGAGGGGGGCGACTGTGGTGTTGGTGGCCACATCACGGGTTGACATGAACGACGAGACACTTCTCTATGCTCGCCATTGCCTGCCCTCGCCTGCTCTGCATCCTATGGCTGGGCGTCACCAGCAAGAGCGGTCTCAGCCTTGGCAGAGGGCGGCAGCAGGCCGCAAAATCCTCAGCGCCCATGTCCGCTTGCTCGCTCAATTACTCAGTAACCTCTGCTCTGCCCCCCATGGCTGGCTGTCAGCTGTAGCCCTGGCCGAGGGCGGCAGGTCATGAAGCTCCTCCAGCGGCCATGTCCCCTTGCTCCTCCAATCAATCACTCACTAACCCTCTGTGCTATCCTCACCTGCTCTGCCCCCCAGGGCTGGTTGTCAGCAGCAGCAGCCTTGGTGGAGGGCGGCAGGTCGTAGAACTCCTCCAGAGCCCATGTCCTCGCCGCCAGCGCTGCTGCCGCTGCTGGGGTCAGCCCTGCCGCCGCTGCCGCCACTGCCATGGGCTCCCAGGCACCTCCACCACCACCACCACCAGAAGCAGCTGTGGCGGGAGCAGGAACAGCAGCGGTGGTGGTGGTAACCGCGGAGGCGGTGGCGGGGCCGCCGAGGAAGGCGGCGATGGCGGAGCGCAGGGCGGCCTTGAGGGCGGGTGGCACCGCGGCGTGCGGCAGCAGGCGGAAGAGTGCGTCGAAGAAGGCGTCGGAGAAGAGCCGCGTGCGGTGCGCAGGGGGGGCACTCTGTAGCACCGCGTGCAGGCAGCGGATGTAGGCCTCTAGGACTGCTGCGTCCTCTGGAGGGAAGAGAGAGGGGTGGTGCTGCTGGTGCTGGTGCTGGTACGGGAGAGACGAGTCTTGGAATGCCTGGCGCAGGCGATCGTCATACACCTGGAGGAGAGTGAGTGAGGAGGTGGGAGAGAGAAATACAAGACAGCATGAGATAAGGGGGGGTGTGAAGCAGGAATGAGTGCAGGCAGCGGATGTAGGCCTCCAGCACGGCTGCGTTGTCTCGGGGGAAGAGGGCGGGGAGCTGCTGGTGGTGCTGGTGGTGCTGGTGGTGCTGCTGATGGTAGGGGAGAGAGGGGTTTTGGAATGCCTGGCGCAGGCGATCGTCATACACCTGGGGGGATGGTGATGAGGGGGTGGCAGAGATAGAGGTGATGTGAGTGAAAATTCTCCATGTGAATATCCTGCTCTGTTTATTAGCCTGCATAGATTTGTTCTTTAGTAGACTTAAGCAACCCACTACAATAAGGGTGTACTAACCCTAATTGGGGGTTGGGTTCCCGATTCGGTTGGGTTCACATTTATTTGGGACCCCCAATAATCCCCACCAGGATTACTGGACCTCCAACCCCAATTATCCCAACCAGAAATATTGGTGGGGGCAATAATCTTGGCCAACTCCCAACCAAACCACCCCCCCTAGTCCTCACCCATGTAAGCTCCTGCCTTTCCTAATCAACTCTATCTTCTTAATTCTCACAATGTCACATAGATATTTCATCACTGCATTGGCGCATGTTAAAGACCTGCAATGATTGCATCATACCTGCAACAAGACATGGGCAGAAAAAATCGCATCGCATTTAATCACGTTTTGAGATTGCGATTTGGAAAAAAATAAATTTAAAAAAAAATCGCGTGATGCGATGAATTGTTTATCGCGCTCGATTTAATCGCATTTGAAATGCGCTGGAAAACGCGATTTAAATGTGATGTGCGATTTTTTTTATGTAAGAAATCATGCGTAATGTCACACTGAAACCCATAAAACCACTACGAAACCACAAAAAAAAAATTGCACTCTAGCTTATGACTGCCCATGATTCAGTTTCCCGGCAGCCATGGTTTTCTTCTGGTTTTTTGGTGTATTTTTTTCATTCTGTTTAAAACCCGATACAATTTAAAATCGCATCGTGCGATTTAATTAAATACAGAATGCGGTTTTAATATTCATCGCCGCGCAGAACGCAATGTGCGGTTTTTTTTTTCTCCAGAAATTAAATCGCGCAATGCGATTTTAAATCGCATCGCATTTAATTAAATCGCCACCCAATGCGATGCGATTTCAACCGCGATCGCATTTTGCCCATGTCTACCTGCAAGCAATGCGTGGATCATACCTGCAAATGATTGCCTCGTGCCTTCAATGATTGCCTCGTACCTGCAATGATTGCATCAGCGCATGCCAGCTAACTGATCGCAGATGCCGCCCATTTAGGAGCTCATGAACCTGCCGAGAACCTTCCTCTCCTGTTGCCTGCACGTGGCGCACACGAAAGAGGCCACACAGAAGCAAGCAAGATGTTCAGTAACGCAAGCAGAACAAGGAAGCACACCACCAGGATTGACCCCACGAGTAGCCTGGTCGCATCACAGTCGAACGAGTCACAAGGCACTTAGCATGGTAGCATGCACACACACTCCACTCCACCACATACCAGCTGTGAGAGCAGAGCAGGTTCAGATAGGCAACGAGGGAATCAGCCCCCCTATGTTCCTCCTCTTATGCAGGTAAGCACACATTAACAACACCACCAACGGCCATTGATCTGCAAATCAGCCCTCCACCTTCACTCTCCCCCATTCCGCCCACCGTCCCACACCACCTACTGGCTTAGCGAGCAAGTTCAAGAAGACCGCTCTGTGCCCCTCTGTGCTTCTCCCCCACGAAAATCACGAACAGCCACAACACGCCATTTCCTCCCTCAGCGCGCAATTGCCTCCCATCAGCCCCCCACTCCCACCCATCCATCCCCATTCCGTCTATCTCCCTCCCACTCCACCTACCAGCTGACTCAGCAGATTCAGGAAGGCCACGAACGAGGGAAGCCACCCCAATGTGCTCCTCCCCCACGCACATCACGAACCGCCACAACACACCATTGCCACCCTCGGCATCCCCTCCCCTCCATCCCGTTTCCCTCTGTCTCCCTCCCACCACACCACATACCAGTTGGGAGAGCAGGTTTAGGAAGGCCACTAGTGAGGCTGCCCCCCTGTGCTCCTCGCCCACATACATCACGAACTGCCACAGCACGCCATTGCCCCCCATCAGCTCGGGCTGCCGCGCATACACCGCCCCCACCAGCTGCAGCAACCCCAGATACGCCCTCCCCCTCACCGCCACCTGTTCCTGTGCCTCCGCCTCCTCCCTCTGCTGCTGCCTCTGCTCTCGTTCGTCTTCCTCCTCCAGGCTCCGAGCCACGCCACGGCCCATGCTGTGCGGGTATGCGCCGGCTAAGCGTGCGGCCTTGTCCACGTCAGCGTGAGCTGGACGGGAGGAGGAGGAGGTGAGGGGGGGGAAGGGGAGGGAGAGGGACGCGTGGCGGAGCTCCCTGATTCGCTCACGCGTTATTGGCTGGAGGAAGAAGGAGGAGAGGAGCTTGTGCGTGTAGACCATGAAAGTGAAGGTTAAATCCTCGTCATCGTTCTCAAAGACGGCGGATGATAGCACGCGCTGCAGCAGCAGCGACGAGGCACTTAGCAAAGTTTCGTCTTTTAAACACTCCCGGGCCACGGCCAACTCATCCCCAACCACCTCCTCTCCCGAGCCTCCTGCTGTCAGAGCCGCAACTGCAACCGAGCCTCGTGCGGAGGTTCGGGAAGGGGAGAGGCTTGGGGCGGAGAAGGCTGGGAGGGTGCTAGTGTTGGCTAGGAACACAGCCCAGGCGAGACGAATGACAGAGATGACGTCATCAGGGGCAGGAGGGGTGAGGGGGGAGGAGTTGGGTGGGGAGGAGGAGGAAACAGGAGAGGAGGAGGGCTGTGGGGGGAGGGAGAGAGGGCCGGATTGGAATGGGACGAGGGCATTGGAGGACGAGGGAGGAGTGGGGGATGGGGTGGTCTTGAGGACCTGATTGGGGGGAACAAGGGAGATACAGTGAAAAGAGGTGGAAATGAGCGATTGAAATGATCGGGATTCAGATCATGTGATTGAAAGGCCGATAGCTGGCCTTCACAGCGTGTACAAGTCACAGCAGACTGCTGACCGTCACAACAGACTGCTGACTGTCACAACAGACTGCTGACCATCACAACAGACTGCTGACCATCACAACAGACTGCTGACCGTCACAACAGACTGCTGACCGTCACAGCAGACTGCTGACCGTTACAACAGACCCTCAAACAATACATGCTGGAACAGCATATAATTTGACTGTTGGCCGTCGCAGCAGACTGCTGACCGTCACAACAGACTGCTGACTGTCACAACAGACTGCTGACCATCACAACAGACTGCTGACCATCACAACAGACTGCTGACCGTCACAACAGACTGCTGACCGTCACAACAGACTGCTGACCGTCACAGCAGACTGCTGACCGTCACAGCAGACTGCTGACCGTTACAACAGACCCTCAAACAATACATGCTGGAACAGCATATAATTTGACTGTTGGCCGTCGCAGCAGACTGTTGGCTGTCACAGCAAACGCCAATCTGTCAAGCTCACCAGTCGGCTGAACTCCTTTCGGAAAGCCTCATTGGGCGCCAGCACAGGAGGCGTAGACGCAGACATGGAGGGAGACGCAGGGGCAGCACCAGCAGCACCAGCAATGCCACCGGAGGAAGAGGGGGAGGCAAGGGAGTCGGAGAGGAGGGCAAGCAGCAGGGCGAACATGAGCGTGTAGGTGATCTGCAGAGTCAGGGCCACGTGGGCTGCTGTGAATGCGGTGGTGTGAGAGGAAGAGGGAGGCGCGGGGAGAGAGAGAGGAGAGGGGATGGGGGGAAGGGCGAGGGGGGTGGAGGAGGAAGAGGCGGAGGCAGAGGCGGCAGCAGAAGTGGCGGCGGACCAATCTCGAGCGGCATCTTGAAGCAACTCGAAGAGCTCCTTGGTCTCCTTGGGATCTGGGGAGAGGACACCGGAAGGGCGGGGGGGAGGGGAGGACGGGGGGGGGTGGGGGGGTGGAGACAGAGGTGGGGAAGGAGGAGAGAGAATATGGGGCAGGAGGGAAGGGGTGAAGAAGAGCACAATTCACACCAGTCAAGGCACAGTGCACGACATGCCAGATCATAAGAGAAAGCGGCATCACGTACCGAGCCTAGTGAGCAGGCACGACAGCGCAACGCACTGGGCCACCAGAAGCCGCTCGCGCTGCACCACATCCCACCGCCTGGCCAGCAGCCCCCTCCCGTCCATCACATACTCCCCTATACCCCCTCCCCCTCCTCCCCCTCCTCCCTCCCCCCCACCAGCCACAGGCGACGCCCCAGCAGGGGGACCGGCCCCAGCCACCACGAGAGCCAGGCTTTGGGAGCCCGAGCCAGAGGCGTCGGGTCGGTTGAGCTCCCGAAGCAGGCGGAAGAGGCGGGCGGTGAGGCCCGATTGGACAAGCGAGCGCAGGTAACGGCGCACGTGGTCCAATAGGAGGGGGTCGGCGGCACTGTCGCCCAACACTGCTACCTGCGCAGGGGGGGTGGGGGAGGAGGGGGGACGGGCGATCGTGGATGGAACAAGGCGGTAATAGGGTGGGAGCGAAAGAGTGGCAGGGAGAGAGCGCAGGTAGCGGCACACGTGGTCCAATAGGAGGGGGTTGGTGGCACTGTCGTCCAACACTGTTAGGTGCATGCGTTGAGAGAGGGGAATAGAGGGACGGAAAGCGGGGCAGGAGGGTGGAGGGAAGGAAAGGGGAAAGAGGGCAGGTAGCGGCGGACCACGGCGCAGATGGTCCAGAGGCAGGGGAGCAGACGGTGAGGCGGCAAGAGGGGAGAGGGCGAAGCACAGGTAACGACGCACATGTGGTGAAACACATGGGGAGCCGGCTAACTCTGCTAGCTACACATGGGGGAGGGAATGGTTTTCAGAGGATGTGGCAAGGAATAGATGGGACAGATGAGGGCGGATGGGCCATACGAGGCAACAAGGGACCGACCTTGAGCAGCAGGAAGAGCGTGGAGAGCAGCGCACGGCGCTCTGTGAACCACAGCCCTGCTGCCAGCCGCACCACGTCAGAATCCGCCCGCCCAGCGATGCCCCACTGCCATGCGGGGTTGACACAGGTGGGTGTGTATCGATAACATGTATGTAGTAGATGTATATGTGGTACTCAAAAAGTGCAGTGGAGCATGTGGAATGGAGGGATTCAGGAATCACGCAGTTCACAGCTTTGGGTGGGGCTGCATGAGGCGCATAGCACGTGACATGCACACATGGGCACATGGGCACATGTGCACAGCTGATGGGGCGCCTCAAAAGGGGACCACGGCACGCACATGGGCACATGGGCACATGGGCACATGGGCACAGCATGAACCACGAGGCAAGTGATGTGACCATACATGCCGAACACCAGAATGCACCAACCATGTGGCATGACCCATCATCCCACGCGCCACGACCCATCATCCCACGCGCCACGACCCATCATCCCACACGCCATGACCCATCATCCCACACGCCATGACCCATCATCCCACACGCCATGACCCATCATCCCACACGCCATGACCCATCATCCCACACGCCATGACCCATCATCCCACACGCCATGACCCATCATCCCACACGCCATGACCCATCATCCCACACGCCATGACCCATCATCCCACACGCCATGACCCATCATCCCACACGCCATGACCCATCATCCCACACGCCATGACCCATCATCCCACACGCCATGACCCATCATCCCACACGCCATGACCCATCATCCCACACGCCATGACCCATCATCCCACACGCCATGACCCATCATCCCACACGCCATGACCCATCATCATCCCTTGCTGCATGGATCGTCATGCAATGGAAGCTGCCCATTCCACCAGAAGCACAAGCACCACCCATCGCATCCATGGTGCAAAGACAATCAGCCAATGTTGCATCCATGGCCCCAGTACCCGATGCACTCAGAAGACCCGACCCCTGGCCTGGCCCATGAAATAACTGTACGCCTCATGGTGAGCCACCATCAGCAGCAGTACCTCACAGCATTGCACTGCACACCTCATGGTAGGATCACAGTACCTCACAGCACCGCACTGCATACCTCATGGTGAGCCGCCACCAGCAGCGCCACGGAATCCACCTCGTTGATAACAAAGGCGTCACTCAGCTGCAGCGCCAGCTGTGGGGGGAAGACGAAGGAAACACAGGCAAGACAGGCAAGACAAGCGTGGGAGGCAAGAAGACAAGCACTTAAAGCCACCAGAAGGACAGCGCACGTCGTTGATGCCAAAGGCGTCACTCTGCTGCAGCTGTGGTACGAGGTGGTCATATCACAGCTACGCAGGGCACGATAGACAAGCCAGGGGTGGTATGCTTCATGGGTTGAGAGGGCGCGCGGGAAGGGCAGAGGGAGGGGGATAAGTGAGGAGAGGGGTACGGGAAGGGAAGGCGGGGGGGATAGCGTGGAGGTGCGCTGCTGGATGTGAGGGGGATGGGCCGCCTGTTGATTTCGGTGGGGGAATAACCTGTCACCCTCACCCTTCCCCCCTTTTCCTTCCCCCTTCCCCTTCCACCTTCCCCTTCCCCTTTCCCTTTCCCCCTTCCCCCTTCCCCCTTCCCCCTTCTCCCATCCCCTTCCCTCTTCCCCTCGAGTTCCCCCTCGCCTCGCCCCTCACCTGCATGTCCTTGAGTCCAGCACGGCAGGCGGCCCGTCTGGCACCTGCACCTCCTGGCTGCGCACCTGACAGTTCCGTCCCCCCTGCCCCCCCCGCCCTCCATGGCCCCCGTGCCCCCCCTGTCCCCAGCAGTACCTGCACGTCCTTGGAGTCCAGCTGTACCTGCACGTCCTTGGAGTCCAGCTGTACCTGCACGTCCTTGGAGTCCAGCTGTACCTGCACGTCCTTGGAGTCCAGCTGTACCTGCACGTCCTTGGAGTCCAGCTGTACCTGCACGTCCTTGGAGTCCAGCTGTACCTGCACGTCCTTGGAGTCCAGCTGTACCTGCACGTCCTTGGAGTCCAGCTGTACCTGCACGTCCTTGGAGTCCAGCTGTACCTGCACGTCCTTGGAGTCCAGCTGTACCTGCACGTCCTTGGAGTCCAGCTGTACCTGCACGTCCTTGGAGTCCAGCTGTACCTGCACGTCCTTGGAGTCCAGCTGTACCTGCACGTCCTTGGAGTCCAGCTGTACCTGCACGTCCTTGGAGTCCAGCTGTACCTGCACGTCCTTGGAGTCCAGCTGTACCTGCACGTCCTTGGAGTCCAGCTGTACCTGCACGTCCTTGGAGTCCAGCAGTACCTGCACGTCCTTGGAGTCCAGCAGTACCTGCACGTCGTTGGAGTCCAGCAGTACCTGCACGTCCTTGGAGTCCAGCAGTACCTGCACGTCCTTGGAGTCCAGCACAGCTGGAGGGCCGTCCGGCAGCTGCACCTCCTTGCTGCGCACCTGACCGCGGTCCTGCTCGCTGCAGGGCTTCCTGGCCAGCAGGTCCCTGGGGTAACGCAGGGCGGATAGAATCGGGGGAGGGGGGGAGAGAAGGGGGGGGAGGGGGGGGGGGGTGGGGTGGGTTTTGCAAGCAACACAGCCTCCTTGCTTTGATGCGCACCTGGGCGCAGTCCTGCTCGCTGCAGGGCTTCTTAGCCAGGAGGTCCCTGAGGGAACGCAGGGCGGATAGGGTAGGGGCGAGGGGGATGTGGGGGATGGGATGTGGGGGATGGGATGTGGGGGATGGGATGTGGGGGATGGGATGTGGGGGATGGGATGTGGGGGATGGGATGTGGGGGATGGGATGTGGGGGATGGGATGTGGGGGATGGGATGTGGGGGATGGGATGTGGGGGATGGGATGTGGGGGATGGGATGTGGGGGATGGGATGTGGGGGATGGGATGTGGGGGATGGGATGTGGGGGATGGGATGTGGGGGATGGGATGTGTGGGATGGGATGTGGGGGATGGGATGTGGGGGATGGGATGTGGGGGATGGGATGTGGGGGATGGGATGTGGGGGATGGGATGTGGGGGATGGGATGTGTGGGATGGGATGTGGGGGATGGGATGTGGGGGATGGGATGTGTGGGATGGGATGTGGGGGATGGGATGTGGGGGATGGGATGTGGGGGATGGGATGTGGGGGATGGGATGTGGGGGATGGGATGTGGGGGATGGGATGTGGCCCGTGGGGGAGGTGGGGGACGTGGGGGGTGTGGGGAAGAGTTGTCTGTCTGGCAGGCAGCTGCACCTCCTCGCTGCGCACCTGGGCGCGGTCCTGCTCGCTGCGCGATCATGGGAGTACATGGGAGTGCATGGGAGTGCATGGGAGTGCATGGGAGTGCATGGGAATGCATGGGAGTGCATGGGAGTGCATGGGAGTGCATGGGAGTGCATGGGAGTGCATGGGAATGCATGGGAGTGCATGGGAATGCATGGGAGTGCATGGGAGTGCATGGGAATGCATGGGAGTGCATGGGAGTGCATGGGAGTGCATGGGAGTGCATGGGAGTGCATGGGAGTGCATGGGAGTGCATGGGAATGCATGGGAGTGCATGGGAATGCATGGGAGTGCATGGGAGTGCATGGGAGTGCATGGGAATGCATGGGAGTGCATGGGAGTGCATGGGAGTGCATGGGAATTCATGGGAGTGCATGGGAATGCATGGGAGTGCATGGGAGTGCATGGGAATTCATGGGAGTGCATGGGAGTGCATGGGAATGCATGGGAGTGCATGGGAGTGCATGGGAATGCATGGGAATGCATGGGAGTGCATGGGAGTGCATGGGAGTGCATGGGAGTGCATGGGAATTCATGGGAGTGCATGGGAGTGCATGGGAATGCATGGGAGTGCATGGGAGTGCATGGGAGTGCATGGGAATGCATGGGAGTGCATGGGAGTGCATGGGAGTGCATGGGAATGCATGGGAGTGCATGGGAGTGCATGGGAGTGCATGGGAGTGCATGGGAGTGCAGCATGCATGGGAGAATTCTCCATGCGGAGGCTTGGGTTAAGGCTTGGGTTGAGGCGCCTCACAGCATGCAGTGCGGGGGGGGGGGGGGGAGATGACAACACGAAACAAGGGCTCCGAAACGAAAGCACGATGGTACGAGACGGATGTGGCGACCGGCAAAACTCCATGCGGTGTCGTCCTCGTCGCCGCAACCCCGAGCCCCTGGCGACCTCACAAGATTGAATCCCTACGCCCACGACTCTTCCCCGCAGCCGCTGGAAGTTTCGACTTCACGCAGCACAGAATCATCCGCCACGCGCAACATCCACGTCACGCCTGACGTCACAACTGGCGTCACACCTGACGTCGCACCTGACGTCACACCTGAGGTCATCTTCGACGAGCGAGAGCGCGTAGAAGAGGTCGCCTCGCTGCGCCGCCGTCAGCTGCTTGCCCCGCCGGCCGTCCGGCCCTAGCGCGCCCTCCACCGTCTGAAGTACCGACCGGTAGGACACCATAGCGCGCTATCGCTGACGTTGACGTTTTCGGATACTACCAGCGGTGTTACCCCGTTAACGGAATATTTTGACGAGGAACGACCGTCGCAGCGGCGAGACCGGGACGAGACTTTGAGGACGCGACGAGCGAGTGGGAGCAGCTGGATCGGTGCGAAGTCGAAATCCGGAAAGAAGAGCGACACGAGAGCCCTAAACGATGTGCTGCGTGTCAACGCGAGATGGCGATCGAAACGCGGGGAATCGCGCTTTTACCAGGGCGCCGACCCGTGCCGATTAGCACCTGGCAAATTGGCGATCCACGAAGTGCTGACCTGAGGCCTGTAACGGGGAAAGTGGCATCTGCTTCTGGAACAAGGGTGGGGAGAAAATTTCGCAGCTACAGTGCTGCGTACAATTCCATCACTCGTTTCCGCCTAGCGTGATATGAGTGCACACGAATTAAAGTAATGATATCATAAGTGCAAGATTAATGACATCACAATAAGTGCGTGTACAGATATAGGGCAGATGAACTAGCGCGAATATTGTGGAAATTGACGTGAGTTTTATTGGTGTGGGAATTGAATCATAAATGGTTTGGGGCTAATGATCAACCCGTTGGATAGGTTTTGGAAGTTTCAAATCCCATATGGCCAACCAACACGCATCTTTTATTCCGAGTGGTTGCATGACAGGAATCACTCACATAAATGCCATATCCCTATGACTTCTCCATATCATTGTACATCACTGTCGCAAATTTATATTGCAGATGCCAATGTTGTTAAATTATATATTGTGTGATATAATTGGTAGGCTTGGTAGGTTACCGAACTCTACTGTAGGGGGTACAACTCCCTCCTTATATGCATCTCTCTTCCTAGTCTCTCCTCTTTTCTCTCGTCAACTTTCTCCTAGCTAAACCCTCACGCCATTCCATGGCTTCCCTCCTATCTAGCTTAGTTGAACATGGTATTAGAGCAGGCCCCTTCGCTCAGGCCTTCTCCTCACGCTTCCGCAGCGTACTCCCCCCCCCCCGTCTCGCCGCGCTGGCCCCGTCATGCCGCGCTGGCCCCGTCACTCCGCGCTGGCCCCGTCTCGACGCGCTGGCCCCGTCACGCCGCGACGGCCCCGTCACTCCGCGCCGGCCCCGTCACGCCGCGCTGGCCCCGTCACCCCGCTCTGGCCCCGTCACGCCGTGCTGGCCCCGTCCCTCCGCGCCGGCCCCGTCACACCGCGCCGGCCTCGTCACTTCGCCGTGCCTCAGTGCCGCCGTCCCACCATGCCGTCGTGCCACGATGCCGCCGCGCCGCCGCGCTGCCGTGCCGCTGGGTCGCCGTGCCGCCGCGCCGCCGTGCCCATTGGGTCGCCGTGCTGCCGTGCCGTCATGCTGCCGTGGCGGCTTCGCCACGCCAGCGCACGGACAACTGCGGCCAGCGCCCTGTCCTAGGCGCCAGTCGTAACGCCCTCACGCCAGTAAGCGTCGCGCCAGCCATGGTGCCTCGCTGAAGATTCGCCCTCTCACGCCAGTAAGCATCGCGCCAGCCATGGTGCCTCGCTGAAGATTCGCCCTCTCCCGCCAGTAAGCGCCACGCCACCCATGGAGCATCGCTGAAGATCCCCCCCCCCCCCCCCCCCCCCCCCCCGCCCCCTCCTTCCCCTGCGTCTCCTCTTCCTCTTGCCGCAGCTGCTGTCTTCTACCCGGTTGTCACCTCGCCGTGCCACACCGCCGAGAGCCTTCAGCCATGGCCGTTGCCTGCGCTGCCTCTCGCCGGGGGATGTCACCATGCCAAGCCCGAGGGGTAGATACCCGGGTGATCTCGAGCATGGGGGTGTAAGGGGTTAGGGGGTGTGGGTGTTGGGTGGGCTTGTGACTATCAAGCCTAGGGGGTGTGTTAAATTATATATTTCGCATAATTAAGGGCAACCCTTTCTATTTTATGACATGAAATGGTATGACTCTTCTCGTTGTTGGAATTATGGGAATCTCTAGGTTGCTCCAATAAACATACATATAGTTGATTGACCAGGGCCTCAGATTCGTTTTGGAGCACGCTGATCGCTCAGGGTCCCCCCCTCGTGGCTCCATGTTTTTTAAGGCCTCGCAAAAAAAATTACGCTGATCAATCAGGGTGTTGTATAAATTTTGCGCTGAATAAACAGGATCAACTACAGAAAACACGCTGTTTAAAACCTGACGGCAAAATAGCAGAAGGGGGTCCCTCTTGATTTTTGAGTGGGTGCAAAAAAACGGTCCTGAACCCTGGCAAAAAAATGAAACGTCCAAGTGCCCCGAAATTTGTAACTGTCCGAAAAGAAAAGAGGGTTGCACAAATCCTATTGGTTGCGGGAGAGTATTAGCCAATGTGGGCTCGAGGCGAAAAAATATTGACAGCCTGGCACGTCGTGCAGCCCTCCTGCGACGTTTGTCGCAAGCCACGTGGGCCTCGGCTTTATCTGCAGGGGGGTTCAAGAGGGACCCCCCTCTGCTATTCCTATTTTTCGTGCATTCCTTGGGCGAAAATCAAGTGGGGCCCCACTTGATGACCAAGTGGGGCCCGTTTTGATGTGGCAAAAGCGTGTGCCACATCGTGCAGCCCACAACGCGCGATGCGAAACGAAATTCGTACGGTACAGTGTCGCGCCAAATAAAAAAACGCACCTCGACACACAAGGGGTGCTGATCAAGAGGGGTCCCAACTTGATAACCCCCCTGTTATTTTGTTGTCGGGTTCCTGAATACATGCCCAGTATGTTACAGGTTCCTGATTACAGTCTTGATCGGTCACTGTCAAGTTGGCGTGATTGACAGGGAGGGTGGGGGGGAAATTCGGAAATAACGGGTGGGGGGGTTGGGGTTCGGAATCCGCTTTTACACGTAGTATCAGGATCGGTCCCCAATATGATGCTGGACAAACAGGCCTCACTACACTAGTCACGCTGATCGATCAGAGTTCACTTCTAAAAAAACGCTGAAATTTCAGGCCCGTGTTAAAAGAAAACCCTGTCTCATCAGGGTCACCCCCGAAAAAAAAACCCTGATTTTACCATGAATCTGGGTAAAAAGCCTGCAATCTGAGGCCTTGTGATTGACTATAAGTTTGGTAGTGTAGAGTACTTTGGTTGGATGGGTTGGTTGTGACTTGGTTGAAACTCACTTCTTGGATTCGATGGTGCCTCTTAAGAATATGTCATGTCCAACTTTGGTTCCGAAGCATCCTAGACTCTAGGAGGAGGTTCTAAGGATGCATTAGTCTCTTAGAACACTTTCATTTGGTATCAGAGCTGAGGGGATTCTAATGACCCATTGGAAGAGCGACCTAGTGCAAAACAAAGCTTCAATCCTTAGTGGAAGCAAAAGGGATTCCACCGATCGTGAAGGGTTGTCGAAATCGCACCGTAGATCGTCGTGGCGGACCTTGGGCTTGGCACCGATGAAGGAAAGGAGAAACGCGCTGCATGACGTGTTGATCCTCTTGGGAGGACGAGAAGAGCAGCATCTTCTCTGAAGGGTGTTCAGCCGATGACAAGCATTGGAGACGATCAGCTTACCATTGGAAAGAGCGCAGCACGATCTACAACATTTGCCTTGAGGTTGTCGCCATCTGATAAGCGGATTGGGCGAAAATGGAGAAATTCGACCGGCGACAGAAAATCGGAAGAATCTGGGAGAACGCGAATAGTCGCTGATCACGACTGGGAGAAAGGAAGTGGATCCCAAGCGCCAATAGAGGACGGCAGCATGAATGCAACAAGCCAAAAATTGGCGGGAACAGTAGAGGTAGCATCACAAAATCTCACTTCAAACGACCTCGTCGACTCGCCGACAACAGGTCGACAATTTTTTGAAAACTTAAGCGCCGAAACTGATCGTGGGAATAAAGTTTGCAATACCTTATTGGAAAGCCCTTGGAGTAAGGATTCAGCAGCCACTTACAGATCATCATCCGGAGATTGGAGATTGGAGTCACGCTCCATAAACCAGGAGGGGGTAGCCCTACCAACATCACATCGGTCGACATCGACACCACTGCCGCGGTCGTCGCCGCTCCCCTTGTCACTGCCGCCACCACCGCTGCCGCCGACGACGACGACATCACCGCCGACGCTTACGCCAGGCATGGAGCAGGAAAAGGGTGATGAGAAATGGGAGAGTGCGCCAAAGTTTGATGGGAATGATTATTGGACTTGGAGCTTCCGGTTCGAGTAATGGGCGGATGCATATAATATTTGGGGATTCTATGATGGTTTGGAGGAGCGGCCAACCTCGAGCGATGCACGGGGGAAGTGGGACAGGAGACATATAAAGGCATTTGCTCAAATCTGCAATTCCTTGGTACCGGATGAGCTGATTCGCCTCGTACGTGGGTTTGCCGACGCTGCTGCTGACGGGGAGGCGAGAGCTGTCACTCACATTCCTGCACGAACAGTAGAGGCATACAAACGAGTGCGCAATTTCTACCTGTAGCGGGGGCTGTGCAATAGGATGGCACTCTCAGAAGAGCTTTCTTCCTTGAAAATGAAGGAGGGCGAAGGTGTGGCTGGATATCGGGGGGGTCGGTGGGGATTGCCCTCCTTGTGAGTCATGCTTATTGGGGAAGTCGGCAAGGAAGTCGTTTCCTCATGAGGCATCACGAGCCCTTGGACCCTTGGATGAGGTTCACATGGACTTGTGGGGCCCTGTGCGCACGCCGTCCTTGGGAGGGGCAGTGTACGTACTCAGCCTCATTGACGACTTCACCAGGCGGGTTTGGGCATTCCCCCTGCCCAACAAGGAATCTGCCACTGTGGCCCTTGCTCTTCGCAAGTGGCACAAGGATGTGGAGCGGGAGTCTGGTCGTCAGCTGAAGGTGCTTCGCTCCGACAGGGGTGGCGAGTTCTTAGAGGAAGCAGTGAAGGCATGGAAGAGTGAGTTCGGCATTCAAACTCACCTAACTGTAGCGCACTCGCCGCAGCAGAATGGGGTGGTAGAGAGGTGGCACTAGACAATGGCGGAGGGGATTCGCACCTTGCTGGTCGGCAGTTGTCTCCCCGCATGATTGTGGGGTGAGGCCCTAATATGGGTCGTGTGGATCAAGAATCGGGTACCCCATAGTGCATTGCCTGCCGTCGTCACTCCGCTTGAGGCTTGGTCAGGACGCAAGCCGCATGTCGGCATGGCTCGGGTTTGGGGTTGCATGGGGAGTGTGATGCTACATGAACCGGAGCAGGGTGGGAAGCTAGATGCATGGGCTGTTATGTGCATCTGTGTTGGGGTGGGCATGGAGAGCAAGGGCCGGAGGATGTTGGACCCTTCTCTCATGCACATTCACATTCG